AAAAGGCGGCTTTTTTGTTTTGTTTTTTGTTTTTTTAAACAGCAAATAAACCTTAGACCCCAACTGAAAAAGGTTGGAATAGCAGGGATCCCTAGAGGAAAAAAGTCCTGGACTTACAGCAAATCGTTCCACCAGTTTGGGCTATAAAGTACCCAAGCTGGTACCAAGCACTGATAGGAGGGCTGCTGCAGGCCAGGCAAACTTCACTTAGGATCCCTCCATGGTTATCACATGTCAATCGAGAAAAATGATGATAAGTCTCAATCATTTTAAGAGGTTTATTTACCAAAGTTAAGGATGTGCACCTGGAAGACATGTCTATGCTTTTCTCCAAAGATGATTTTGAAGCCTCCAAGTTTAAAGGGAAAAGAGTGAGATATTGAGAAGTATACAATTTTCTTTTATATATATATATAAAATATACTATAAATATTTACATATATTGCACTTTAGGTTCTGGGGTACATGTGCAGAACATGCAGGATTTTTGCATAGGTACATACATGGCAATGTTGTTTGCTACCTCCATCCCCGTCACCTATATCTAGCATTTCTCCCCATGTTATCCCTCCCCAACTCCTCAGCCCCTGCTGTCCCTCCTCTAGTCCCCACCAACAGACCCCAGTGTGTGATGCTCTCCTCCCTGTGTCCATGTGTTCTCACTGTTCAACACCTGCCTATGAGTGAGAACATGCGGTCTTTGATTTTCTGTTCTTGTGTCAGTTTGCTGAGAATGATGGTTTCCAGATTCATCCATGTCCCTACAAAGGACAGAAAATTCATCATTTTTTATGGCTGCATAGTATTCCATGGTGTATATGTGCCACATTTTCCTTGAAGTATACAATTTTCATGTAAGAGGTGGGTAGGGAAAAATGGTTATTCATGCCTTTGTCTGGCTCAGGGAATCTTCATTTTTACATATTAAGATTACATAGACAAAATGGGGCAGAGGAACAACCAGATATGCATTTGTGTCTCGTGGGCAAGGAGTGCAAAGATAAGCTATCAATTTACATTGCCATGGTGAAATTTTAACAGAAATACCTTACGGTAAAGATCTTGTAACTCACTAGGAATTTCCTTGTCAGAAAAATACTGGGAGGCATGTAGCTTTTCATCTTGTAGCCATTTTATATAGGAACCAAAAGGGGGAAGCAGGTTGCATGATCCAGTTCCCAGCTTAAATTTCTCCTTTGGCTTAATGAGGTTGGGAGTCCCAATATTTAATTTCCTTTCACATACATTTGTCAAAACTCACAGAACCTGCAACACCAAGGGTGAACCCTGATGTAAACTAAGTAAATTAGGTAATGATATGTCAATGTTTGTTTAATTGCAACAAATGCACTACTGTGGTGTGGAATGTTGATGGTGGGGAAGTTACATATGTGTGGGTGGAAGGAGTGTATGGGAACCCTCTGTTAACTTTCCTCTCAATCTTGCTGTGAACCTAAAGCTGCTCTAAAACATAAAATCTGTATTTTTTTTTTAAAAAAAGCACATGTATCTACCAACTGAAGAACAAATACTTCTTTCAAGCACACATGGGAAATTTGTAAAAATTGAATGCATTCTGGGTCAAAAAACTCAAAAAAAAATAAAAAATATGTATATTTATTGCATTCTTATTTATTGCATTCTTCAATCATAATGTAATAAATAAGAATCAATAACCAAAAGAAGCTCCTCAAAAAGCCAGAAACTTTGAAACTACAAATATGCACTTCTAAATATACATGTTACAGAATAAATCTCAATGAAAACTATCAAATATTTAGAAATGATTGATAAAATAAGTACTACATATCAGAAGTTACAGCAAATAGCTAATCAGTGGTATGCCACAGCTGGTTTGTACTGCCTCCTAGGAGCTGGTTTCTAAATATTCAGGAATTTGCCATCCCATTGTTAAATGGCTGGAAATCATCCATGACGGGAACATTTATACTATAGAAATCAGCAAAAATTGCAGATCAGGCTTTCTTTATTCTAAGCATTTTCTGTCCTGTTTTTCCTTTCTTTCTCTCTCTTTTTTTTTTAAAGAGTCTGTTTACCAGTACACCACTTGGAAGGAAATATAAAGTTATAAATATATTTATTAAAAACAAGAAACACTGAAAATTAGTAAGCTAACATTCAATTCAATAAGGTAGAATAAAAGAATAAAGCAGTGATGCTAGTAAATATTGAACAATCAGGTCTCTGAATATAGTGCCATCATGAATGTTGGCAGATGTTTTCATTTATGCTAATAAGTAAGATGAGGTAAAACAACAAAGGCTTATGTTTGCACTTCACTCATCAGTGATATGACTGATTATTTTGTGACTCAGACAATAGTTTCAAATACTGGAAGAATATTTTCTAAATTTTTGTATTATTCAAAATAGAATAGCTACAGATACTGGCCAGGCATGGTGGCTCACGCCTGTAAACCCAGCACTTTGGGAGACCAAGACAGGTGGATCACCTGAGGTCAGGAGTTCGAGACCAGCCTGGCCAACATGGCAAAACCTCATCTGTACTAAAAATACAAAAGTTACTCAGGCATGATGGTAGGCACCTATAATCCCAGCTACTTGGGAGACTGAGGCACGAAAATCCCTTGCACCTGGGAGACGGCAGTTGCAGTGAGCTGAGATCACACCACTGCACTCCAATTTAGGTGACAGAGCAAGGCTCTGTCTCAAATATATATGTGTATATATATACAATACAGTTTTATGTTCAAGCTGTATTATTAATATTTTCTTTAATACTTTCATCACATTCTTAAGTCTACAGAACTAACAAAACATAAATCAAGCCCTATAACATTGACAGATTCCTGTAGTTTAATACTCTGATCCTGGTAAATTTTAAGCTGCCATGACATTACTGGGAAAAGCTGCATAATAGCATACCATTATATAGCATTTCCTCCATTCAGATACAATAGATGTAAATAACCTCAAGAGCATAAATAATAGTAAAATGTAGTAAACTAATTAAGAAGTGACAGGTTTGGGGTGCTAATTAAGTTTGTTTTTAATATAATTTAATTGTAATTTCATAAAATCGAATTTTAATAATAGTTATCTTAGCCAGATGGCAAATTTTCTAAAAACATAACTGATACTCACTAGCTGATATGAGTTGGCTCCAGCACACCACTGGTTAACCCAAAGAATACAGAAAGAAAGAAATGATAGAAGTCAAAGCAGAAATTAGTAAAATTTTTAAATGGGCAAATTATAGGGGTAATGAACAAAACTAAAAGCTGCTTCTTTGAAAAGATTAATACAATAGTCGAATATTTGTCAAGACCAATGAAGAAAAAGAAAAGATACAAATAAAAAAAATTAGGAATGCAAAATGGGACAAATGCATATATATGAAATAGAAAGTTTTAAATTGTTAGAGAATACTATGTATGATGATTTATGTTAATATTCAGAGGGATGGATAATTTTCTAGAAAAATTTTATTTAACAAAATTTTCTCAAGAAAGAAAAAATATGAATATATCAATTACCATTAAAGAAAATAGACTTGTAATTGAAAATATCACTCCAAAAACAGATCTGCCCAGGCAAGTTTTGTCGGTGAATTTTACGAAACCCTCAAGGAACTGATAATGCCATCTTTTACAAACTATTCTGTGAAACAGGAAAAGATGAAGAGATGCCCATCTTATTTTATTCACTGTATAACCTTGATACTAAAACTGAACAAAAACAGAGTAAGAAAATTATAGATTGGCCTCCTTTATGAACAGAAATGAAACATAAAATTCTAAATAAAATTTAAATAAAACTAATCAATCCATCAGTGTATAGACACAACCATCATCTTAACCAAATAGATTCAGGAATGCAGGGATAATTTAACATCAGGAAATCTATCAAGTCACTGGATTACCAAATTCACTGAGAATTGGCCATTGTGGTTGCCATGTGAACAGATATCTTTACTTGAGCAGATTAATGTGGCTTCAGGTATATAGTTTGATTTATACTTTTTGGTATAAATCAAAAGGTATTTTTGGCCCATTGATTTAGAAAATGTATTATTTTCTATCCCTTTCAGAAAAGAGTATGGAAACAGATTGCATTCACATGGAGCAGAAAAAAATAAACATTTACAATTTTGTCCCAGGTACATTTTAACTCTTCTGCTTTCTGTCATGATACAACCTGAAGAGATCTGGACCATCTGCACATTTCAGGACATGACATAGATTCATTGCATTTTTTACATCATGCTCATCGGGCAGAATGGGCAAAGAGGTGGCTTAATACACTGGAGGACTTGGCAAGATATACATGTGCTGCACATGGTGAAAGATAAATCCTACAAAGATTCAGAGACCTGCCAACTTGCTAAAATTTTTAAGGGTCCAATGGTCAGGGGCATGCCAAAATATTCATTCCATAGCAAAAGAATACTTGCACAATCTTGCATCCCTTACCACAAAGAAGGAACCATAACACCTAATATGTCTCTTTGAGTTCTAGAAGTGACACATTCTGCAGTGACCCATATGATGGATGACAGAGAATGCTGTCAGCTTTGAGTAGAACTAGGACAAAAAGAGGACTCTGCAATAGATTAAGGTTATGATTCAAGCAACTCTTCTGTTTGAACCGTATGATTTGAAAAACCCTATGGCACGGAGGTGCCAGTGATGAGAACAAATTCAACATAAAATTAATGGCAAATTGTGGTAGAAAAATCATAATGGGCAAGCCGGCGGCGCGCCTTCCCCCCAGCCCGCACCGCGCATGCACGGGAAGGGGGGCGGTGGGGGTGTTCGGGGCCGGCTAGACATTCTGTGCTCGTGCAGGAGGAGGGCTGCTACCATCAGGGACGTGCATGATTCCCCTACCCCGCCCCCTCCCCAAACTCCAAAAAAAAGTCCAAAACACACTGCCACCCACTGCGCCCCGAGTCCATCCTGCCCCGGCCTGCTTTTGTTAGCGAGCGCTGGGAACCCACGACAGTGTCTGTGGCTGTGCCAGGCTGCAGGATATGGGTCTGCAGGATGGAGTTCTTCCGGTCTGGCGTGCTCCTGATCAGAGTTACTCTGATCTGAAGATTTTGGTGTTTAAGGCATTACAATAAAAGCCTGAGTTGTTCATGGAGTTTTTCATCAGTATGTCTGAAACCATTAAATATAATGACGATGTTCATAAAACTCTGTTTCTGAAAACACTAAATGAACAACGCCTGGAAGGAGAGTTTTGTGATATTGCTATTGTGGTTGAGGATGTGACATTCAGAGCGCAAAGATGTGTTCTTGCCGCCTGCAGCACCTACTTTAAAAAGCTTTTCAAGAAGCTTGAGGTTGATAGTTCTTCAGTCACAGAAATAGATTTCCTTCGTTCTGATATATTCGAAGAGGTCCTGAACTACATGTACACAGCAAAGATTTCTGTGAAAAAGGAAGATGTTAACTTAATGATGTCATCAGGTCAGATTCTTGGTATCCGATTTTTGGATAAACTGTGTTCTCAAAAGGGCGATGTATCCAGTCCCGATGAAAACAATGGTCAGTCCAAAAGTAAGTATTGTCTCAAAATAAATCGCCCCATTGGTGATGCTGCTGACACCAGGATGATGATGTAGAGGAAATCGGGATCAGGATGACAGTCCTTCTGATGACACAGTAGAAGGCACCCCCCCAAGTCAGGAGGACGGCAAGTCACCCACCACAACGCTCAGGGTTCAGGAAGTGATCCTGAAAGAGCTGGGGAGTGAGGAAGTTAGGAAGGTCAATTGCTACGGCCAGGAAGTAGAATCCATGGAGACCCCAGAATCAAAAGACTTGGGGTCCCAGACCCCTCAAGCCTTAACATTTAATGATGGGATGAGTGAAGTGAAAGATGAACAGACACCAGGCTGGACAACGGCCGCCAGTGACATGAAATTTGAATATTTGCTTTATGGTCACCATCGGGAGCAGATTGCCTGCCAGGCGTGTGGGAAGACGTTTCCTGATGAAGGCAGATTGAGGAAGCATGAGAAACTCCACACGGCAGACAGACCGTTTGTTTGTGAAATGTGCACAAAAGGTTTCACCACGCAGGCCCACCTGAAAGAACACCTAAAAATCCACACGGGCTATAAGCCCTATAGCTGTGAGGTGTGTGGAAAGTCATTTATCCGCGCCCCAGACTTAAAGAAGCACGAGAGAGTTCACAGTAATGAAAGACCATTTGCATGCCACATGTGCGACAAAGCCTTCAAACTTAAATCTCACCTCAAGGATCATGAAAGAAGACACAGAGGGGAAAAGCCTTTTGTGTGTGGCTCCTGCACCAAGGCACTTGCCAAGTCATCTGACCTGAAAAGGCATGAAAACAATATGCACAGTGAAAGGAAGCAGGTTACCCCCAGTGCCATCCAGAGCGAGACAGAACAGTTGCAGGCGGCAGCAATGGCCGCAGAAGCAGAGCAGCAGCTGGAAACGATAGCCTGTAGCTAGAGGCGGTGGGGCAGGGACACTTCGCCTGGAAAGTGGAGACTGACATGATGTGGATCGTAATGAATGCCAGTTACTATATTTTTGTGGACATGTATGGAACATTGTACTCAATGGACTTCAGGCAGTACTTGGTTAGGTGTTTTTAAGACTTTTCAAGGAAATGATGTTCCTCGGTTCTGAGCAAACCGTTTCACTGTCCTGTCTGGTGTCTAGTATTAATGTTGCCAGTAAGCGCCCCTTCCCTCTTTTTGATGATTTTAATTTGAGAACTCCTATGTCCAGTTTAGAAGCGAGAGACTTCCATTTTTTATTTCTCTACACTCACCACCCTAGTGGGTGCCCTGCACAGAATAATAATTAGGTAAATTGATTTCCTAATCATCATAATTCTATGTGACTTATGGTCAAAAGAGCAGTTTTAATAACTTAATAAAAGTACTTCAGATAGACGCAGAAAATTGGGGAGTGGTTGACCAAGAACACTGCGCAAATATAAAAACAAGTTCTGGGAATGCAGAATGGCATTAGATTTATATTTGGTTTGTTAATTTTATATCACTGTCTTTCACTGTTTTTGTGGATAAATAATGGTTGCTTTGCTGGAGTGTTTCTTCTTCGATTTTGATTGCCCTGTACCTACCCCAGAAGCTATAGTCACACATCCTGAAGGCCGAGCAAACCTACCAGGATGGTGGGGGGTCTTGGGGCCAAGCTCTTAGGTTCCTCTTATTTGGGGCAGTGCCACTGTGCACCAGCTGGGATTTGTGAGTGGACCCGTGGTAAGAAGAGTAAAAAAGGCTCTCAGAGATAAGGTTTTATATGTGTATCAATCCCAAGATTTCCTAGATTAAAATATTTCTTAATTGAAAAAAAAAAAAAAAGAAAAATCATAATGCTGGTCTCTGAGGTTCTAGAGCAAGACCATTTGCAGTAGAAAATTACACACCTTTTAAGAAACACCTCTTGGCATGTTCCTGCGCCCTAATAAAGATGGACCACTTAACTATGTGACATTAAGTGATAGTGAATCCAGAACTGCTTTTTATGACCTGAGTTTTGTAATATTCATCAAAGCATAAAGTCAGTCTGGCCCAGCAGTAGTCCATTATAAGACAAAAATTGTACTTCAGAATTGAGATATAAAAGGATCAGAGGGCAATAGTAACCTACATGAGCAGGTAAATTAGACCTCTTCGGTATAGGTACCTAAATAATAAACAGATCACAATATATACAACATTTTTATGCTCTAGAACCTCAGAGACCAGAAAACAAACAGAAAGCAACAACAACAGCATCAACAACAACAAAAACAACAACACAAAAGCCCCCACAAAAACCCTATCCAAGGGTCAGCAGCCTCAAAGTTCAAAACTAGACAAACTCACGAAGATGAGAAAGAATAAATGAAAAAAATGCTGAAAACCCAAAAGGCCAGAGTGCCTCTTCTCCTACAAATGATCTCAATGCCTTTCCAGCAAGGGCACAGAACTGCACAGAGGATGAGATGGATGAACTGACAGAAATAGGCTTCAGAAAATGGCTACCAAAAAACTATGTTGAGCTGGAGGAACATGTTCCAACCCAATGCAAAGAAGCTAAGAGCTTTGATAAAAGGCTATAGGAGCTGCTAACTAGAATAACCAGTTTAGAGAGAAACACAAATGACCTGATGGAGCTGAAAAACACAACATGAGAACTTCATGAAGCATGCACAAGTATCAATATCCAAATCAACCAAGTGGAAGGAAGGATATCAGAGTTTCAAGACCACCTCGCATTGAAATAAGGCATGCAGATAAGATTAGAGAAAAAAGAATGAACAGGAATGAACAAAGCCTCCAAGAAATATGAGACTTCATAAACACCATTGATTGGAGTACCAGAAGGAAATGGGGAGAATGGAAACAAGTTTGAAAACACACTTCAGGATATTATCCAACAGAATTTCCCCAACTTAGCAAGACAGGCCAACATGCAAACAGAGAACACCACTAAGATATTTCATGAGAAGATCAACCCAAAGACACATAATCATCAGATTCTCTAAGGTCAAAATCAAAGAAAAAAATGGGGCAGCCAGAAAGAAAGGTCATGTCACTTACAAAGGGAGGCCCAGAAGACTAACAGCAGAACTTCCAGCAGAAACCCTACAAGCCAGAAAAGAGTGGGGGCCAATGTTCAACATTATTAAAGAAAAGAATTTTCAACCCACAATTTGATATCCAGCCAAGCCAAGCCTTGTAAGTGAAGAAGAAATAAAATCCTTTCCATACAAGCAAATGCTGAAGGATTTAGTTGCCACCAGGCCTGCCTGGCAAGAGGTCCTGAAGGAATCACTAAATATGGAAAGGAAAAACTGGTACCAACCACTGCAAAAACACATGAAAATATGAGGACCAATGACACTATGAAGAAACTGCATCAACTAGTGTGCAAAATAACCAGCTAGCATCATGATGACAGGATCAAATTCACACATAACAATATTAACCTTAAATGTAAATGATCTAAATGCCCCATTTAAAAGACACAGACTGGGAAATTGGATAAAGAGTCAAGATCCATCGGTGTGCTATATTCAGGAGACCCATCTCACATGCAAAGATACCCATAGACTCAAAATAAAGGAATGGAGAAAAATTTGCCAAGCAAATGGAAAGAAAAAAAAAAGCAAGGGTTGCAATCCTAGTCTCTGTCAAAATAGGCTTTAAACCAACAAAGATTAAAAAAACAAAAAGACGAAGAAGGGCATTACATAACGGTAAAGGGAACAATTCAACAAGAAGAGCTAACTATTCTAAATATACATGCAGCCAATACAGGTGCACCCAGATTCATAAAACAAGTTCTTAGAGACCTACAAAGAGAATTAGACTCCCACACCATAACAGTGGGAGACTTTAACACCCCACTGTCAATATTAGACAAATGAGACAGAAAATTGACAAGGATATTCAGGACTTGAACTCCACTCTGGACCAAGCAGACCTAATAGACATTTACAGAACTCTCCACCCAAATCAACAGAATATACATTCTTCTTAGCACCACATAGCTCTTATTCTAAAATTTACCACATAATTAAAAGTAAAACACTCCTCAGCAAATGCAAAAGAACTGAAATTATAACAAACAGTCCCTCAGATCACAGTGCAATCAAATTACAACTCAGAATTAAGAAACTCACTCAAAACAACACAATTACCTGGAAATTGAACAACCTACTCCTGAATGACTCCTGGGTAAATAATGAAATTAAGGCAGAAATGAAGAAGTTCTTTGAAACCAGTGAGAACCAAGAGACAATGTACCAAAATTTCTAGGACTCTGCTAAAGCAGTATTAATTGGGAAGTTTACAGAACTAAATGCCCATATCAGAAAGCTAGAAAGATCTCACTATTACAAGTTAAAAAGCTAAAGAGGCAAGAGCAAACTATTCTAAAAGCTAGCAGAAGACAAGAAATAACAAAGATCAGAGCAGAATTGAAGGAGATAGAGACATAAAAAACCCTCCAAAAAAGTTCACAGTCTGGGCTTGTTTGTACCCATCCTTCTTGGAAAGGCTTTCTAGGTACTGGAAAGGACTTGAGTGCTGTGATGTAAGCTATATCTGCATTAGGGGGAACCCCAAGCCCAGTAACACTGTGGCTCTTGCACACTTGTAGAGGTAACACCCTGTTGGTCTTTAATAAGGTCTGGAAGAATTTTCTGGATTACCAGGCAGACTCTTTTTCTCTTTCCTTTCTTTCTCCCCAAAAAATAATCTCTTTCTCTGTTTGGAACTGCCTGGAGCTAAGTGGGGAGTGACACAAGAACCTCTGTGACCACCACCTGTATTGGGCTGGGTCAGACCTGAAGCCAGCAGGGCACTGTCTTTTGCCCAAGGCCCACAGTAACCAGCAGAACACTGTCTCTTGCCCAAGGCCTGCAGTAACCACTACCTGGCTACTGCCTATATTCACTTAAGGCCCTGGATCTCTTCAATCTGCAGGCAGGGAAGCCAGCCAGGCTTGTGTTCGTCTCTTCAGGACAGCAAGTTCCCCCAGTCCCTGGGTGGGTCCAGGGGTGCCATTGGGAGCTAGAAACTATAGCCAAAAACCTTAGAAGTCAACCTAGTGTTCTATTGTACTGTGGCTGATCTGGCACTCAAGCTATGAGTTGTAGTCCTTCCCACTCTTTCCTCCCCTTTCCAAAGGCAATGGATTCTCACCCCATGGCCACCACCACCACAGGCCCAAACAGAGTTCTGCCAGTACTACTCATGCTCACTTAAGGTCCAAGGGCTCATCAGTCATCTTGTGGTGAATACTTCCTGGCATGTGACACCTTCTGGGCAGTGGGCTCCCCTCTGGCCCAGAGCAGGTTCAGAAATGCTGTCCAAGAACCAGGGCCTAGAATAATGGACCCCAAGAGCCTACTTGGTACTCTACCTCCCTGTTGCTTAGCTGGTACCTAAGGTGTAAAACATCGTCTCCTTTAGTTTTTCTTCTGCTCTTCTCAGACAGGAGTCTTCCTTCATAGCCACCACAGCTGGGAATGTGTGCAGTCTCACATGAAGCCAGCAAGTTTCAGAGGCTCACCAAAGGCTCTCAATGTAGTATCTAGGTGTTGCTACTGGCTATTCAGGGCCCAAGGGCTCTTCAGTTAGCAAGTGATCAATCCTGCCATGACTGGGTTCTTCCCTTCAAGGCAGTGGGTTTCCTTCTTTCCCAGGGTGTGTCTAGAAATGTCTGGGAGCCAGGACCTGGAAGGCAGCCCTCATGACTCTGCCCAATGTAACATCCTGCTGTGGCTGAATATGACATGCCAGCATGTGTGAATGAGGATGGATCCCCCAGCCACTGCCCTACAAAGTTCTTTGGCTTGCACCACCCACTGGAGTGTGGTGACTAGTGGTCCAGGAACAACTTGGCTCCTCCAGCACAGTAGATTCCTAAACTTGAGGAACCAGAGATCAAAGCCAGGGCCCAATACCACTCCCCCAGAGTTAGAGTACATAGTCCAAGAATACCTCAGAGC